CACCCAACCCCAACAACACTATTCACGCATTTTGGCTCAAGAGGGCAGTAGATATTATATTTCGCTTTCTCTTTTGGTTGGTATCTCATTTACAATATCCACCACAGATTCCTACCTCCCCGGGTAGGATAATGTGCATAAAAAACGTGTTCAAGTTCCCTAAGAACAGTCGGAGCAGAGCAGCGGCCAAGGGAGCAGCCGGCGTGGCCAGGCACAGGGAGCTGCTCCGGGAAAAAGGGACTGGAAAARGGAATGCAAGGTCCGAAGGAGCAAGAGACCAGACGCTGGTTACTTGTAACGCTAATGATGATTTTGTGTCCCCCTCTCTAATAAGGGAGGGTYACTGTTTCTTTAATAAGGCACTAAATAGACATGTTACATAAAGGAAAGATACATTTTAAAAACTCGTACAAATTCATCAGTTTTGTACCTTTCATGACAAACTAGATTTACTCCTTTGCATGACTTTTTTTTTTGTGGCTTTTATTTTTTTCTTTTTTTTTTTTTTTTAGGTCATCAAAATTTAGGTTACACGACTGTAAAACTATGAAGATTTCAAGAGCTGTGGAAAAGCAGTCTGAAGTATTGAGAAGGTACAGGACTATTTCTAGGCAGAAATAATAAAAAAAAAAAGCAAAAAAATAATGATCAAACTTCAAGTTCAGCTATTCATCATCTTCTTTAAAATATATATAAATATTGTTCAAATGGTCAGAACTTCAAAACCGTTCTCATGGTTAGGTTTTTTTTCTTTTTCAAGTAATAAAAAAGTTGCTTAAAAACAATAGTTATTGCCTTTATATCTTTCATTTATGTCACTCTACTAGATAGCATCCTGCAGGAAATCAAATCCCACCCCCCTGTCAAACCCTCGCTCTCTGCAGCTCCCCACCGACCCTTCCCTGCGCTCAGAGAGACGGGACCCACCAGGGGATTTGTCCCTTTTGCCTTCTCCCCCTCACTCTCTCGGGTTTCCAACTCACTCAGGTATGAATTCACCACGAGGGTGAGGCCCATGCCAGACACCGAGGTGACAGAAAATGTAAACAAGAGCGGAGCAGGACAAACCCAGATAAATGAACCCCGTGCAGCGCCCGGCTGGCGGCGGGAGGGCAGGACGGTCCAGGAGAGGTACAGGGGTGCTGCTTCTAAAGCCTGAAGCATTATTTTTGTAGCCTTTAATTAACACAACACAGGAGCAGATTAATTTCCATCTTTCCTGTAACCGGTGCCTCTTTATCTGGACAAGGAACGTAAAAAATCGCGACAACCGCGGGACGCGGCTGCGCCCGCTCGTCCCAAACTGAGGTTTGGGGAGGTTGAAACAAAACGAAAATGATGTTCACCACCACCAGGACCAGCAGCAGCACACCTTCCACCTCATCCTTTCAGCAGGACACTGAAGCCCAGCTGAAGGGCAGCGGGGTGGGTGGTCACCAGCTCCACAGCCACCGCTCTGGCTCCAACGGGGCCCTCCGGTTGAACATGGAAAGAAATAAACCAAAAAACACTTTTTGTTCCTTCAGACACAGAAGTTTATTCTCAACCCCCGCCACCCTCCCCTCCAAAAAGTTAGAGGTTGTCCAAAAAAAAAAAAAAAAAAAAAAAAA